CACACAAAAAAAAAAAAAAAAAATATATATATATATATTATATATATATATATATGTGTGTGTGTGTGTGTGTGAGAGTGTGTGTGTATGTATATATAATTGGCTCTTTTTTTCTATCAGGTCATTGGTATTTACTCACAAATTTTATATATATTAGAGAAATTAGCCTTTGCCAGTCTTGTTTCTGTTTCTTTTTTTTTCCTTCAGAATTTCTTTGCCCCATCTTGTAACTGGCATTCTCCCACTCTCACTGTCTTTTTTTTTTTTTTTGAGTTGGAATCTCACTCTGTCACCCAGACTGGAGTGCAGTGGCTGCTCCCGGCCACCGCAGCCTCGACCTGCTGGGCTCCAGCAATCCTTCCGCCTCAGCCTTTTGAGTAGCCGGAATTACAGGCACGCACTACCACACCTGGCTGATTTTTTTTTTATTTATTGTAGAGATGAGGTCTCGCTGCCCAGGTGGGTCTCGAACCCGCGGGCTTAGGCAATTCACTCATCTCAGCCTCCCAAAGGCGCGGGATTACAGGCTGAGCCACTGAGCCCGGCACTAACTGTCTTAATGCCTAATTTTTAGGGGAGGACAGAGTATCTGAAATATCTTTTTTTTTTTTTTTTTTTGAGTTGGAGTCTCACTCTGTCACCCAGACTGGAATGCAGTGGCCACTCCTGGCAACCGCAGCCTCGACCTGCTGGGCTCCGGCGATCCTTCCGCCTCAGCCTTCCGAGTAGCCGGAATTACAGGCATGTGCTACCATGCCCGGCTGATTTTTTGATTTATTGTAGAGATGAGGTCTCGCTGCCCAGGCGGGTCTCGAACCCGCGGGCTCAGGCAATCCACTCACCTCAGCCTCCCAAAGGCGCGGGATTACAGGCTGAGCCACCGAGTCCGGCACTAACTGCCTTAATGCCTCATTTTTAGGGGAGGACAGAGTATCTGAAATATCTTTAATAGGCCAGGCACAATGGCTTATGCCTGTAATCCCAGCACTCTGAGAAGCATAGGCGAGAGGATTGCCTGTGCACAAGTTTTCAAGACCAGCCTAGGCAACTTGGTGAGACTTCATCTGTACAGTAAATTAAAAAATTAGCTGGGTGTAGTGGCAAGCGCCTGTGGTTCCAGGTACTTGAAAGGCTGAGGTAGAAGGATGGCCGGAGCCTAAGAGGTTGAGGCTACGGTGAGCCCTGATTGCACCACTGCACTCCAGCCTGGGCAACAGAGTAAGAATCCGACTCTAAATAAATAAATAAATGCAAATATCTTTAATGAATAATTGTTTACACGGGACAACTTACCTTGCTGTCCATCTTGCATAGTTACAATAAATGGCTGCCCAATGCCTCCAGTAGGGATTGCAGTTTGGATGTTACCCAGGGGGACTCCATCAGTCACTATGGTGATGACCCTCTGGCCTCCACTCCCCATCACTTGCTGGATTGATGAGTCAACAGGATTTCCCTCTATAATTTCCTCTGAATTGGCTAGAGATGACAAAAGTAAACCAATAGTTTACAGAAAAGAAAATACTGATGGCTCTCAAAAAGATAACAAAAGTAAAATTTCAGCTCTAAAAAAAAGTACAGCAATTTCAACCTCCTTGAAACTGACAATATTCAGGGAGAGGAAAAATGGAAAAACAAGTTATATTCAACAGTTCACAAAAGCTTTTGTCAGAAAAAAAATAGGAAATGCATTAGAACAGTATTTTCTACAGTATCTTCATTCAGATGTTAATAGTTTTCATTAAGATGGATTCTATGTATAAATGCACTTTCAAAATGCTGGTTTAAATGCTTCAACATTTTGTAGGAAGTATCAGAGATTTCAATAGGCTAATGAGCATTGTGATTCTCCAACACAGTCTAAGATATGCTGAGTTTCTTGGACACATTTGATCTCGATATTTTTTCCAGGGAATATCTTAAAAGTCTAAGTGAATCTATGGAACTTATAAAAATAACCATAAGTTAAAGTAGATAATTTTTAATTTTTTAATTTTTATTTATTTATTTATTTATTTATTTATTTTTGAGTTGGAGTCTCACTCTGTCACCCAGACTGGAGTGCAGTGGCTGCTCCCGGCCACCGCAGCCTTGACCTGCTGGACTCCAGCAATTCTTCCGCCTCAGCCTTCCGAGTAGCTGGAATTACAGGTGCATGCTACCACGCCCAGCTGATTTTTTGATTTATTGTAGAGATGAGGTCTCGCTGCCCAGGCGAGTCTCGAGCCCGCGGGCTCAGGCAATCCACTTACCTCAGCCTCCCAAAGGCGCGGGATTACAGGCTGAACCACTGAGCCCGGCTTTTATTTTTATTTCTTTACATATTTTTTGAATTGGAGTCTCACTCTGCCACTCAGGCTGGAGTGCAGTCACGCAATCAGGGCTCACTGTAGCCTCAACTTCCTAGGCTCAGGGAATCCTGCCTTGGCCACCCGAGTAGCTGGGACTACAAGCATATGCTACCATGCTTGGCTGATTTTTTGATTTTTTTTTTGGTAGAGACAAGGTCTTACCATGTTGCCCAAGCTGGCCTTGATCTCCTGGGCTCAAGCAATCCTCCTGCCTCAACTTCCCAAAGTGCTATGATTCCAGGAATGAACTACCACTCCCAGCCCAGGGTAGGTAATTTCTACAGGAAAACAGGGATATTTATTTATCTATTTTGAAACAGGGGCTCACTCTGTTGTCCAGGCTAGAGTGCAGTGATGCCATCATAGCTCACTGCAACTTCAAAGTCTTGGGCTCAAATGATCCTCCTGCCTCAGCCTCCTAAGTAGCTGGGGCTACAGGTGTACACCACAATGCACAGCTAAGTTTTAGTTTTTTTTTAATTTATTTAGAGTCGAGGTCTCACTATGTTACCCAGGCAGGGCTTGAACTCCTGGCCTCAAGCAATCCTCCCACCTCAGCCTCCCAAAGCATTTGATTATAGGTATGAGCCACCACACCCAGCCAAAACAGGTATATGTATTTAATAGTGAGTTAGCAAAATAATATGTAAGCCAAAACACTGAAGTTTTTGGTTTTTTTTGTTTTGAGTCGGACTCTCACTGTCACCTAGGCTGGAGTGCAGTGGCATGCTCACGGCTACTGCAGCCTTAAACTGCTGGGCTCAGGTAATCCTTCTGTCTCAGCCTTCCAAGTAGCTGGAACTACAGGTGTGTACTACCATGCTTGGCTAATTATTTATTTATTTATTGTAGAGACAAGATCTTGCCAAGTTGCCCCAGGCTGGTCTCGAACCTTTGGGCTCAGGCAGTCCTCTTATGTCTACCTCCCAAGGTGCTGGGATTATAGGCATAAGCCACCATGCCCGGCCAACACATTGGAGTTTGATAGATAAAAATGGTGGGTGGCTTTCCCATCTGATAGATCAAGAATAATACGAGGGGAGATCCCCCCAAAATGGAATTATCTTTTGGCAGGTAGGTACCTTGTAGTACAGGCTTCCTCCACTACATAAGTGTTCTAAGAACCCACTGGCATCAGCTGGGATTGTGAGAGGCTGTATTCTTGAGAAATGTCCCTACCCTCGCTGTGGCAAACAGGTGAGTGGTTCTTCCACCATGACAACATACCTGCCTGAGTGTTCAGCAGTTTTTGACCAAGAACAGCATGACCCCCATGCCCCACCCTTCCTATTTGCCTCATTTCGCCCTGAGTGACCTTTTTTTTGTTTCCCTGGATATAAAAAGTCCTCAGAGGGAAACGTTTTGTCAATATGGAAGAGGTGAAACAAAAAACGGCAGAAGCAATAAAAGGCATCAAAGTTTATGAGTTCAAAAACCGTTTGGGAGCCGGGCTCGGTGGCTCAGCCTGTAATCCCGCGTCTTTGGGAGGCTGAGGTGAGTG